AAGTTATTTTTATTCATTAACCAGGTACTCTTTGCACTCACTCACTGCAGTAAGAATGTTAATCAATCATTATATTATCTAGACTATAGCGGACAACAAACAAGAGTGGACACATCGTGAGCTGTAGTTGTAGAAAGAGGAGAAAATGGAAACTAAGGCGAACCACTGGCTCATGCAGCTTTCATTTCAGCAGAGGCTGTTCGTACGCAGGCAGAGGCCGCGCATCTTTCAGCTGAGATATATAAAAAAATTCAAGGAATTGACCAATATCGGCAAAAACCTTGTTTAAAATAATAAGTTCAATTTTGTTTTAATTTTAGCTGAGTCCATAATAGTTTATATTACCATAAAAACGAAATAGCGCTTGTTACAATAGTCAAGCAAATCCAAATATATACGTTTTACTTTAGGCTGGTACTACAGTAAATTTTATGACACTAGTGAGTATATTTTACGCTAATAAAACTACTCTCAACTTAGCATTTCAAAATGACTATTTATTTTTTTATTGCTAAGATGGGTGGACGAGCTTACAGCCCACCTGGTGTTAAGTGGTTACTGGAGCCCATAGCCATCTACAACGTAAATGCGGCACCCACCTTGAGATATAAGTTCTAAGGTCTCAGTATAGTTATAACGGCTGCTCTACCCTTCAAAACGAAACGCATTAAAGCTTCACGGTAGAAATAGGCGGAGTGGTTGTACCTACTCGTGCGGACTCACAAGTGGTCCTACCACCAGTAGAATACCAGTATTTAGCTTCATTGTATATTTTGTACTCACAGTATTCGGCATGTTCTGCTTCTAGTCTATAGGGTTATAGAGCTATCACCTTGCTATCATTCTACTTACCTCGGCCCCAAGTTCAGTTATGTTTCTTTGAAGTTATCGGCAGTCGATATTATATTTCAATTGTGGCTTCAATTTCATGCGGCAAGAATTACAAACAAACTACGATTTCCTAATTTAAGAATTATTATTCAAATAAAACAAAATTACACAAAAAAAATTATTATCAAACTTATCTAACGACCGTCTGGTGTAGTGGTAAGTGACATGGTCGCTACACAAGGGGGTCGCGGGTTCGAATCCCGCCAAGGGAAGATATTTGTATGATAAATATAAATGTCTTTTCCAGGGTTTGGAATTCCAGGGGATGTATATTAAATATATGTATGTGTATAATAAAAATCCTACATTTATTTCCGTTATCTGGTATTTATATTTATATTATTATTATTATCACAATGAACAAAAATCAGTGGTGGTTGATCAACATTTTGTCTAAATTATGAATTATGTTTTTCATTTTGTAAGTAATATTCATGTAAGTATCCAACAAAATTTAGAAGAATTATGAATTACTAGTCGATTTGTTATTCATTCTATTCCATTATTCAAAACAGCAGTATATACAATAATATATATAACAACACAACATACAAACGGGGTTAACATAAAGATAAAATGATACAGAACAAATTGAGCACGACAGATTAAAACATTGTCTTAATAAAACAACCTCACAATTTTGCTTTCAAATAGTTATGAATCCATCCTTTATATAGTAAAGGTAAAAACACAAAAATGTTAAGGAAATATGTATATTTCCACTAAGCACAATTAAAAAATTATAGACACAAATAATTAGGCTATTCTTGCCCTCTCAGTTCACATAATTAAGAACAGCAGTTTTCAAAATATCTACATAAAATTACTAGAATACAGAGGTTGAGACTAAATTTAATGTCTGTTCTCCACAATCCAATTGAACCACCCTTGAATGTTGACATGGTGCTAAGTGCTGTGTTTCCTCTTCTCTCCCAAAAAATACAATGTTATGAGTTTGATAAGAAACATCAATTTCAGCATCTTCGTCAGAGAGTTGGGGCACTGGAAACCCATGTGTGTTTGCCATGTTATGCAATACAAGCTAACAATTATGGTCTTGGCCATCATAATATGATGATCATAATGCAGTACTCTATGTACCAACAAGCATCTCCAACTGGCTTTCAATACTCACAATGGTCAACTGTGTTCCTGGTATGACAATAAACATTACTATAGTACTATATATTAACTGCCTTCCCAGTTTTAAATATACTTTTAGATAGAGTATTATTTTGTAGTCAGGTTACTGAGACAGAGCTCATGATGTTTTACTTGCCTAAAAACCAAACTTTTTCACTATTATGGTGCAGGTCCTGCATAGGCATATTCAGTTGTGATAAGCCAGACAAATGTATCATGAAATGTTGCATTAATACTAAAAATGTTAAGATCACTATCACATATCTGAAAAATTTAATTCTTTAGATAAGTACTATCAAATGTTTGTTATTGTGAATGATAGGCTTCAGCAAAATACTTACTATTTGCACATTCTTGAAATGATAATGCTTGCGGTTCTAAAACCTTTCTTCATATACAGAAGATCTGATAAGTGCAAATGAGTGCCATCTATACACCCCGAAACCCCAGGAAAACCAAATTTATTGTAAAACCTATAATGAAAAGAAATTTATTTACTATTATATTATGTTTTCAATCACAAAATTATTATTGTTCAAATATCTATGCACTATAAAAATAGACAAACTTTGAATTAAAAAAAAAAATGTAGTAAAGATTAATGGTGGCCTGAAGGCCTTTCCAGTTTCACCAGGACTTAACATTTCTCAGAACTCTGTTTAAAATATAGCTATATATAGCTAAATATAGCTATAGTTATAAAGCTTCAAGAATATAACTGATATATTATTATATGATTGACTCGTGGAAATTGTAAAATCAGTGGAACTCTTGTGCTCTATACTATAAGATTTTATAATAACTTGTGACCCATTGTACTGTTTGCAGAAACTTTAAATGTTTCAATAAAACTGGAAGATTGTTTAATGCCATAGCCACTTCCCTAATGGCATTGGATTTACTACAGTTTAACTCAAAATGCAAAAAGCTCATTCTCACAGGTTTCTGGTATGAAATTTTGTAATGCTGTTAACACCTGTATAAACAAGTTATTTAAAACATTTAGTTAAGAATAAATCTAAAATCAAAAAAACAATGCTACTTTTGAAGACAAGATTTTGTGAATCTTTTATTTTCTTCATTATTTACACATAATATATTATAATGTTTAATTGAATATATATAAGTACCTTGCATTTTACTTTCTATTCTTGTTCGTCTTGATGATCTAGGTTATTAACGGCTTTAATTCAGAGCACAATTGTAAATATTGATGTTTCGAAATTCTGTAATGTGTTCTGAACAAACTTTCCGATAGAATAAGGGGTCAGGCTTGATCACGAAGACAGCGTCGCAAACGCACTGATTCGTATGTATCCGACCTAATTTCCTTAGACTCCAAAGCCCCATTATTTGAGCTCTGTCCATACATACCTAATACCTAGAAGAAATATTAATTTGTAAAAAATAAACTTTATAACCTCAACATTATTAATGTACTTAAATTGCCCAGCGTGGTATTTAATGTTAATACTATGGAAAACACAAACACAAATAAAGATCTAAACCAATTACACTTACCTAAATCAAGTTAAAATAATTTAATTTCACAAATTTTACACTTGCAGATAGTTAGCAACAATTCAGCACCAGATACAAAAGGTGTCGCAAATTTGACAAACGAAATTGCTAAATATCTGCTGTTGTGTGGCAGACAAAAGCATCCGTAATACCGACTTTAGGCCAGTTGTTGTTAGTTGTATGGAAAAGAATGCACTAAAGTTTCACAAATCGCTCTGCAGAGGCAGCACTAGTGATGGTCCGCGATCTGCTTTTTTGTTGTAAGTCCGTAATACGAAATGGACAGTTGACAGCAATATTTGCACAATATTTGTCTTCTGCATAATTGCTGCGAGAATACTGTGATACAGCTGCCGGTAAACCAAAAAATCACTCCCGGACGAGACCGCCGCCCGATTAGCCTCCTCATGTCTCTAGGCAAACTGTATGAGCGTCTGCTCTACAAACGCCTCAGAGACTTCGTCTCATCCAAGGGCATTCTCATCGATGAACAATTCGGATTCCGTACAAATCACTCATGCGTTCAACAGGTGCACCGCCTCACGGAGCATTCTTGTGGGGCTTAATCGACCAAAACCGTTATACACGGGAGCTCTCTTCTTCGACGTCGCAAAAGCGTTCGAC